AGAAGAAAGTTAAAAGAAGGAAATCCTCGGTAAAAATTATTTGTCAACAACTCAACACAGGTGGCTAAGAAAGGAAAATTAAAATAAATTTCTCTGTAAGCTAAAATTAGCTTATACAAAGAGTTAAAAATAAGATTTTTGAAAAACTAACTAAATAGAACTTCTACAAATTAATTTATGTTAATTTTAATCTATAAAATAAAAATAAATAAATAAATAAATAAATAACTTAATTTTTTCTTCATATTTTTCTCTTCTAAAAGTGCTTTTAAAGAAGTTTATCCAAATAGGACTTAAGTCATTAAGCTGTACTCGTTAAACATAATCTAAACACTATCAGCTATTTGAGTTGATAACGTTCATCTGTTCCTAACTGAAAATAACATGCAATACATAATATACATTCTGTGTCCTATTAGATGTTCTCTGAAATTATAACCACAGATCCATTACAGTAACGAGACTAATGTATGTTGAGACCTTGGTAATAAAGTGTAAGGTAGATACCATGTTCATCAGATGGAAGGTCATGTATAACTGGTGGTTCACGCAGTTTTGTTGGATCCCCACCACTGGCAACTCTTTCTCTTAGTTCTCCAAGGCATGTCTGATGAAAGCACGGAAAAAAAAAGGTAGCAGACAGTCATTAAGAATCTATTTTTGCGTAGAATGAAAGACTGAAAGTATGGATGCATCATTCTTGCAAGCATATCTGTACATGCGATGAACACAGCCTCTCAACAAATATAAACACATAGGGAGAGACTGCACTGTGTATGAGAAGCAGCACAGGAAATGAAGAACTTCATATTCTTATTTCGTGTATGTATCAGCTGAATTCAGAAACACCAAATGATTGAAAATATTTTTATGGGAAACTGTTCTGGAAAATAGATGTGTTCATAGATCAAAGAAGTCTCATTCTCTTGGACAAATTAAACTAATATATACATATTCAACATCAAAGAACTGTACCAATGATGATTTATTCCTTTTGATAGGCTTTGATGGCTATGGGATTCTTTCTCAGAATCTATACTCCCAGGGTTTAACCATATTTCAGAGGGGCAATTTATATTTATAGGCTGTGTTCTTGTCAGGTTAAGACAAGGGTACAACCGCAAAAACAAATAGCTTGTGGCACTCAAGCTAAATATTAGCAAATACAACACAGCTTGCTTCACTTCCATAGTCCCATAGAATTAAGAGACATCCAAAACTACAACACAATCAGATGATTATTGAAAAATAAAATTCAGAGCCAGTAGGAAACCTAAATAATTCCTTATAACTACACATAATTGAACATGAAAGCAGTTCCAATAACAAGTTTATTAGTTCAGAAAATAGCATTCCCAATTATTAAATTGCAACCTAAATCAAACCATAAAGAAGAAAATTTATAGACTAAAGTAAATAGTAATATTTATCATGGGTCATTGGTTTTCAGTCTTCCATTTTAATTGACACCTTAGAACTGGAGAGAACCACGTAAACATATTTATACTGTTGTTCAAAAGGTTTATAACAGAAGATGGGTATTATGGTAATGGGTCTAGCCCAATCTAGCTCCTTTTCCAAGGGTCTTGCAGATATCCACAAAAATCTGATCACCAAACAATATCCTAAATGTTAGACAACGAAGATGCAGACCTAAGCTTAAGGTGAATCAAAGAAAAAAATGATTTGGAACTAGGGAGTCTTGCTTCTTAGCTCTGATCTATGTTCCAACACGCTAGGTTGTGACAAATGTTGACACAAGGGACCAATAAACTTGTAGCACAACCGTTGAGGTTAGAGGTTTAATATGCACGAGACCACCTATGCCCCCCATACATAGGTGCTTGCACCTTCCAATATAACTGAAAAAAAATTACAAGGCAATTTGGAATGCACGTACCCCAAAAGTAATTGAAGGACAAGAGCCCAAAAATTTATAAAGCTTCTTAAGAAAGTGAATTATGGACCCTAGTTCAAACTTACAAAACCGGCATGTAAGATGAAGATTATCTCCACTTATATACTTTGTTTTGACTTTATCTCTAATTGATGTACGACTTGGATTTTTTTCAATACATTTCATGCCCAACAACACTATTGGACTTAATGCATGAATAGATGGTGGATGAATTTTTTGAAATGATCTAAGATAGGCAGAATTTGAATTTTTCTCAATACACTCTCTCATGCCCAGTACTATTAGGCTTGGTATGTGTATAAATGGCGGGTAAATCTTTTTAATAGATCTAAAATAACTTTGATAACATCTTAAGAATCGTGCAGAGACCGAGAAGACGTTTCACGGCAGCCCTCTCATGAAAACGAGAGAAATACGCCGCCACCTCACCATCGACCCAATCATACCCAGGGATGTCACACGGAGGGTACTTTTGCCTATAATCCCCAGGACTCATTTCGGTGTCGGGCAATTCTGACCCGGATGAACTCCCTGTCTCCCCACTATGCTCCGGTCCCGACCCACTTGGACCCCCAACTATTTCTACTTCAGTGTTAAATGCTAACATCTCGGCTTCAACATCTTGTGCTGACACCCTACCACTGGCCGAGGGCCCTAACGACAATGTGACACCTTCGGTGGCCATTATCACAAAAATGGAACAAAGATAAGAAAAACACCAACCTTTGGGGTGTATTCGGCTCAGAGAAGAGTGGATACTGGGGAAGTGTAGAGAAGGCGTGAAGAATCGAGCCCCACCCCAACAACTTATACAGACCAGGCACGACAACCCAAAAGCCTCGTAATAAATGCCCCTGAAGGCGAATAGACACAACCCTAGGGCGCGGAACCCAAAGGCGGCCATGGCATGCAACGGTAACTATCAAAACGACACACCTCCCGAAGAACATGTCTCCCCCAAATCAAAACCCTAAAAAAAAAGAAAGAAAAAAAAAAAAAAAAAAACCCGAAACATTTCAACACACAAAACCCCTACGTCTTTCATCCTTGGGCTTGGGGGGTAGTGTACCAGTAGGCACCCCTTCGGTCAGACAATAAGCCGAAATGGGTGCCCGAACCGACAAAGACACACCAGTTAGCACCCTTTCGGTCAGACAATAGGCCGAAAGGGGCGCCCG